TTTAGAATTTCTTTGATAGTGTTCCATTTTTGTCCAACTTTGTTATGTGCGTCTTCAAGTTTGTTAGAGAAGTAGTCTCGTTCAGTTTTTCGTTTAATAGATGTGAACATGTTTCTGAAGCTTTTGTAGGTGGCAATGTTGCGGGTGGTTGGATATTTAAGGCTTATGATGTATAGTTTGTTTTTCTTTTTTGCAAGACTTAGAATGTTGTCATTGATCCAGCATCTTTTCTTTTTGTTTTTGACAGGACGGAGGGGGGCAAAAGTGTCTAGAGAGTGAGTTAAGATAGTATTCAAAACAGAGCAGCAGTCGTTGACATTTTATAGAGAAGTCAAAGAATTCCAGTTGTAGTTCGATAAGAAATTGTTGATGTTGTTTATAGATTCTTCAGTTAGGTTTCTGAAGTGCTTTATAGGGGCATGGTTTGAGATTTCTGATTTGGAAGCGATGGCGAATATAGGGAAATGGTCAGATATGTCAGACAGAATTATTCCAGATAAGTGAGAAGTTAGGTTGTTAGTAAAGATATTGTCGATGAGTGAGCAAGAAGAAGTTGAGATGCGAGTAGAGGAGGTTATAAGAGGTAAGAAGTTGTATGATGATAGTAGGTTAGAGAAGTCAGCAACGACATTGTCACTGTTGAGTTTATTGAGGTCAAGATTAAAGTCGCCAATTAAATAGCTCTTTATGTGTGGCTTGAATGTGGGTAAAATAAGTTCGAGCTTTTGGATTAAGATATTAGGGTCAGTGTTTGGGGGTCTATATACTGCTAAAATATTTACGTGTGTGTTGTTTAATTTTAAATTGACACCAAGAAGGTCAATAATGGTGTCGTTCAGAAGCAAATTGTTTATCATAGAAAATTCAATGCCTGATCTGATGAAGATTCCGACTCCACCATCTATTCTGTCAGACCTATTTTTAAAAACAAAATTGTAATCATTCATACGAACTAGTTTAGCGGTTTCGTCATTCAGCCATGTCTCTGAAATAATAATAATGGGAAAAAAATAAGATAAAAATTTATTTAAAATTAAAATGTCAGAAATTTTATTTAAAAGACTTCTGCTGTTTATGTGAAGTAGAGGTAGAGGGTGATCATGATTGTTGATGTACTTGGCTTCTAGAATGTTGAGTAGATCTCTTGTGGTGTAGTAGGATGACTGTCTGGTGAATGAATCTAGGAGGTTCTTTGTGGGGTCGATGTGGGTGTTGTTTGCGTTAAAGTGTTGATCATCTTCGTCGTTGTTTGATGGTTGAGGATGTTGTTGAATAGAATTGATTGTGGAATAAGTATTGTTAACAGCCATTGTCACAGAATTGACATCGGAGGGAGGACCTACGTTATTATTCAATTCAATTGCGTACAAAACAATTAACAGACAAGTTGTTTCGCAGTCGATTATATAATAACTCAATTAATCAATTAACGCTTAAAATTACGTTCACATGATCATGATGAGTTAATTATAACTAGGGAGGCCCCGGCCAAAATCCGGCTTTTTTTTCAAATCCGGTCGAATCCGGCCCCGGCCGGATTTGGTGGCCGGATTTGGGGCCGGATTTAAGCGTCTATCAACTTTTAAAAATGTTAGAAATAGAAAAAAAAATTTTATTGAATTCAATTAATTTTATGTCAATAAGTTAATGGCTAAAGCTAAGCTAAAGGCATACATGACACATAATAACAACATCACTAATTGTGAGGTGATCTGGACAATTTTTTTTTATGCTATAACATGGGTTATGCATAAATTATAAGCTGACCTTTGTGTAAAAGAACTTGTGCCCGTGTATATACTATATATTGATAATTGCACATGACGGATCATATAGCTACATAATATATATATATATATATATATAAAGATATATATCTATATATATATATATATATATATTTAGAGAGAGAGAGAGAGATACATAAGCACATAATTTAAGAACATGGTATGTTAAAGGTTAGGGTAGGTATACATGACACATAATTACAACATCACTAATTGTGCGGTGAGCTGGACAATTTTCTTTGTGCTTTAACTTGGGTTATGCAAATATGCATAAATTATAAGCTGATCTTTGTGTACAGAATTTGGCATATCACACAACTTATTCATATATTTGAATTAAATAACTATTTGCTTGGTGTTATTTTTTGATGTTCAACATGTAGATAACCGTAAATGTGAGTATTTTTTCTAACGTATGTAAAATGGTAACTAAAATCCGGCCCCGGCCGGATTTGAAAAACCTGAATCCGGTGCATCCCTAAGTATAACCATTTGGCACACCACACACACACACACACACACACACACCATATTGCCGAGCATGCAGTGATTTTTATCAATAATTGCATTTCTGACAGTCTTAACCCAATATATATATATATATTTACATACATATATATGTTTGTAAAAATAATTTCATAAAAATTCAGATGTGCAATTTAGAGTATTAAATTTTCAATTGAAGCAAGTTTATAGTTATGTTAATCAAAACCATCGTGGATGAAAAACATAATAACAATAATAAAAATTAAACTATTTAGAAGACAATGAATATAGGAATAATAATGAATATGATGTCGCAATATGTAAAGGTATAAAAGGGACTCCAATTTTAACGATGGAACCATTTTCAAAATTGCAATCTGAAAGTTATCTGAAAAATTATGTAATTATCTATCTCTCGAAAATGAAGTATGTCATTTTTTCAATTTTTAAATTTAATTTTGATCAATGTTTGTAAATTTTTGTCTTTAAAATTGTTTTTCAAATATCATCACCTTTAACTGAAGTATATACTGATTTGTGGGAATATTTTCGCTCTTTTAAATATTCATATTTACAAAATTTTGATTTTGATTTAGAAAAATTATATTTTACAAAATTAACAACTGCGTCTTTTTTAAAAAGATCAAATCAAGGCCTGGTGGCAACTTCGTTGTTTTCTTATTGTATCTTTTGGCACAGGCCTTTTGTTTGGATGTTAGGGCCTGTATGATCCGTAAGATACAAAACAAAAAATTGATAACATGGGTTCGCTATTCATTCATTGTCTGTCTTCTTAAACGCTCACGAGGAAATTATTAAGCATTAATATTTTTCGAATCATAATAATCCGTAGTAGCTTAGCGTGAAATTTTTTGTGAAAGGATGGTTTAAAATTTTTTCATGATAGTTGGCAATCTATTTTTTATACTTTTATCTTATACCATATTTTTTGGCAATTTTCATATTAAAACCAGTGATTTTATTCAAATCGTTTTGTTGTGATGAGAGGCTGAAACTTTTTCTAGCAAATTCCAGTCCGAAACTTATGTAGAGGTTTTGTTTTAATTTAACCTTAATAACAGCTAATTTTATTTTTCAGCTTTCCGTTTGGCCACGTTTTCATTTGATATATCATAATTCGAATCATAATAAGATATAAAACCCAAATTTTTTTCATATGCACCTACTGCATATTTAAACATAAACTTAACAATTGAACGAATTCAATTTTGTGACTTATTTATTTATATTTTTGTTTGTTATATATATATATATATATACATGCTTTTATATTTGTATATGGATAGTGCAGCGGTTCTTAACCTGTGAGTTGAAACCCCGTCGGGGTTTTTCGAAATATTTGCCATTATAGGCAACAAAGACAGCATGAATATGGTAAATGCGTTATACTGAAAAGAAAAGTTAATGAAAATATAAATTTTTAGAAAATCAGGTTTATATTTAAGATAATTATAACATTATATGTTTTTTTTACTGGCTTGTTGCTAATCATTTAAAAAAATATCTCACATTCGTCAGTTGTACAGATCAAAAAAATTTATTTTTGTGGACATTAAAAATTTCAACAGAACATAATGCATATTCTTGCGTTTTTAGAAATTGAGTTTTCAAACATGACACACTTTTTGCAATTTTTAAGCCCGTGAACATAAATAACTTTTCAGTTGTGTCGCAACACGATGAGTCAAGGTTGAGAACCGTTGGTATAGTAAATCAATACAAAATATTAAATGAACCATAAAGAAATATATATAAATATCTCTCTTAAAATAAAAGTTAACATTCATGATAACTTTATTTTTTATTACATTACAGAATCAGCCTTACTCTCACAATTTTGATACAACTTTGTGTCAATGAAGGAACACAGAAATTCTTCCCGTATGGACTGACAACAAGAGATTCAACCGTTTTGAAAGCAGATGATCACTATGATACCTTGAACATCAGTGACAATTTTCCCTTCTTTGGTAAAACCTTTGCTCAGATTCACATAAGCACAAATGGAATTATTTTTTTCGGACAAGGTAGCACTCAATACGTGCCAACTCTTTTTCCAATTAACGGTACACTATCGGTTGCAGCATACTGGGTTGACAGTGATCCAAGAATGGGTGGTGATATTTATTACAGAGAAGAATTTGATCCTGCTATATTGAATCAAATAAATAGATTTATAAAAAGTAAATTTGTTCAGTTTAATACGTTCACGAGCTCATGGTCACTTATTGTAACGTTTAGCAACGTCTCTAGATATGGTTGTCAAGGAAGTGCCGAATATCCATGTCAAAACGTAGTCAACCATCAAACCATCCTAACTAGCAACGGCATACATTCGTTTGTAATCTTCCTTTACGACAGACTGGAATATTCAAATGCTCAGATTGGATTCAATGCCGGTGATGGAAAAAGATTTTACCAGGTTGATTACTCTAATACGGTTAATATATCAAAATACGCTTTAGAAAATAGTAATGTTGGTTCTCCAGGTGAATGGCTGTTTTCAATAAGTGATGAAATTGCCTCTGCATGCAATTCATTGGGAATGCTGGAAATTTATCCTAAGAAGGTGCTTTATTACGGACAGCAAGAGTTGTTCATAAGTGGACCTTGTTTCGACAAAACATTATATGAAATTGATGTTAACTTTGGTAATAAAAAAATCAAATGTCGAAGAGAACAAAATAAATTCAAATGTTTGACTCCGTATTTTGATATACGAATTCCAGTCGTATTAAACTATAAAGAAAAAGAATACAAAGGTTTTATTCTCTCATACGATGCAGGGGATTCACTAGTGCAAAATGCCACGTACATCGCGCTGAACGCAAAAGATGGCAAGTATATCAATTTAGAATGGGACTAAACATTATTCAAGACAAATAAAACAACATTAAGAGCCATAAAACAAATAGTTCAACACGATGAAAAAGGCAAACTTATTTTGAAAAACTTTAACATTTTAAAAATCATAGCAAACAATGGAAAATTTAGATTAGAAATAGTAAAACCGACAGCTGAAGTAGAACTAATTCGATATCTTTTAAATATAAAAAACATTGTCTTTGAAGTTGTAATATATTATTCTTCGCCAAAACCAAAAAAACAAAGTTTATGCACCGATTGGTATGACAATGAATTGAGGACTGAGCAAATAAACCAACTAAAAGATATGGCATCAATACAAAACCCTTGTCAGCCGATTGTCCCAAGTAATTTTCCAGATCAACTTCACAGTGGTTTCATCAAAGATACTCACTGTAATCCATTTTCTGGACAATTCGGTTGCGATATTTTTAATAAAGGCGCTAAAGGGTGCTACAGAAGTACCAACAACACAAACAACATAGCTGTCCAATGTTGCTACGATAGTAACAATACGTTAACTGTTGGACCGCCGGGTGGAGGGTATTTACATTTACATGATTCAGAAAACTCTAGATGGAAACATTTCAAAGTTGATGTCTTACCATACTTACAATGTTGCATCTTTTCTAATGAGTGTGATAAATACTATGAAAAACGACCTTCCGTTGATTCCAGGCATTACGTTCCACCACGTCCTGTGTGGGCTCGAGGTGATCCACATTTCACTACGATGGATGGAACTTCTTACGAGTTCAATCCGGTTGGAGAATTCGTTTACTTGCAAGTACCAAACACCACGGTACAAGCGAGAATTAAACAATACGTAGACAAGAACAATGTACCCAAGCCGGCAAGCTACTTTTCCGCGTTCGCCATAAAAATTTACGACGACCTGATTTTACAGATTGAGTTTACAGCTACAAATAATTTACAATTAAAAATTGATGGTGTGATTTGGGAAGAGGAATCGTTATCTTTACCGGAAATTAGTGCAGTAATCAACACCACCCTCATCAGCCTGCACACAATAACTGGACTCAGTTTTCAGTTTTACAACTTGAACAACATGATTCATGTTATAACAGCCTTACAACCCAGTCTTAAAGGACAAGTCTCTGGCTTGATTGGAAATTGGGATGATGATCCGTCGAATGATTTCATGCTGCCCAATGGAACGTGGATTCCAAAAACATCCTCACCTGAAGACATTCATTTCAAATTTGGCATGTCGTGGGCAACAACTAACGAGACAAGTATCTTCAGCTATCCTGATGGTTTGAAATGGAGTGATTACCAAAATTTGAACTTTGCTCCATTCTTCGGTCAACCAACAAACTCCTACCCTCAGTGTGGCAACAACTCTCAATGCATATTTGACGCGTTCGTTACAGGAGATGTGGAGGTTGGACTCACGAATGTTATCATGGAACAAACAAATGACAGGCAAATTGCAGAATATCTACATATGCAAAAAACTTGTAGTCCCAACTTACACGTTCTCCATGCCAGCGTCATCGTCGTACACAACAGTGACTACACTCAAGTCGACTACTCAATCGTATGTGAACCTGGCTACATGTTGACTGGCAAGTCTTCTGTCGGTTGTGTGGAAGGGAAATACACAGGTGAATTTGGAAGTTGTTTGCGTTCGTCCACTCCTGTAGTTTCTATCCTATTAATAACAACATTCATCTGGCTATTTATTCTCGCCGGATTAGCTTGTCTTGTAATAATAACTATTAAAAAACTTAAAAGTAAACAAATTTTCATACTTGCACTTGCTTATTTTATTTGTTTAATTTGATCCTAAATGACATAGAATAAAATTTTAGAACTATTTGAAATTTCTTTCGCTTTGGCTAATCTTATTTATTTCAGTTACACCTGTTTGTCAATTTTAAGATTTTAATAAGTGTTTTACATTGCGACATTGTGCTTATCATAACCGATTATATATTTTGGCAAGTTTATTTGCAGTTTTTCAAGAACATTTGTGGCTGTGAACCTGAATCTTTGAATTTTAAATGTGTGCTTTGTATTTGAATTTAAAGTGATCGTTTACTTCTGCCATAAACGATTCATTCATCAGTATTCATGTTCGTATATTTATTTGCCTAGTTTTCTGCTTTAAATGAGAATTTTTATTATTATAATTTCTTAATCAAGAGAGAGAGAATAAAACAGAAATATTTTGTTCCAGATATTTGTTTCAAATGTAAAAAAAAAATATTTAGTTCCATTTCATTAAATGTTGAAGTTATTAAAAAAACGATTTTAATTATTAATTAAAAATTATATCGGTTCAAAACATAAAAAATTGTTTAGAAAAAATGTAATAGCAATAATTGCAAGTCATTTAAGAATGTTTCACGCCGCTAAAAACAAGTTTTTGATTGAACATGGGAAGTGGGGACTTTCAGCACATAGTCATACAATACAAGCGAACATGTTTTCCGTTTATCTGTTCAATTTATTGCATTGTGCCTGTTTTTAATATGAAGTTTCTTACAATTTTTAACTCTTAAAATGTTATATAAAATCAAATGTTATCAAATGAGTAATTTTTATTTGCAAAAGTGAGAGGCAAATAATTTGATATATGTTTGAAAATTGATTAAAGTTAAACGAGTTTATCCCAAATCAATTTAGAAATACTTATCTATTAAAAGAAAATGTTTTTTAGATAAATCCACATCTCTTAATAGTTTTTCATCTACAGTTAAAATCAAATGAACTGAAAAAACTTAACGAAAAACAGTAGCAAACTCTCTGCGACACCATCTTCTTATAAAAAGGTTCAAAAGCAAAAATTAAAACCAAAACACATTTGCTTAGGGAGGCATTCGAGTTGAAAACATCGTAAATTAAGAATTTTATTCGTACAAATATTTAAAATGAAATATCATAAATTAACAATTATATTCACCTAAACTTTTAAACTTAATGCAAAAGTCAGAACTAAAATAACGTAACGTTGCACGCATTTTAAAGTTCGCCACTTCATTACTTGCTAATGGAGAAATGAAAGTTCGTAAACACGATTTAATGAACCGATGGATGCGACAAACAAGTTCAAAGTTCGCCTCTTCGTAATCTTTAAATACAGCGTATCCATTTGTCATCATTCTCTTCAATCTAATGGCACAAAATTTTTTTGATAAATTCATTCTCGACATTCGTTGACGATGTTTTCCAGTTCTGTACTCTTGCTCCTGGCTGCCACCTACTACTCCCTCTTGCAAGCAGGTCTGCAGTTTCATCGAGCGTTTGTTTCCCTTCAAATTGCGTTCATCTATCACTGTGATATTATTTCTATTTATATATTTTTGTAAAATTTATCTAGATATATTAACAGCATAAAAACAAGTTAATAATTTAAAATATGCTCACAGCACACATAGGAAAAGTACAGTGGAATTTCGGATCAACAACGTACGAACAAGGGGACTCTGTAACGTTGAAATGTAGCGGCTATGTTACTGACGCTAGTGATAAATTGAAAGTTTCCATAAGAAGGCCTGCCTCGTTTGATACTCTCGAGTCGGATAGATTGATATTAGTTGATGAACTTTTGAAAGATGACAAGCAAACAAGATACAGGATGTTGTACACTTTTTATAGCGACCATCTGGCGGCCTTCCACCTCATCATCAACGGTTAGAATTTTATTTCATTTTTAATTTTGTGTTTGAGAACTATTTTGATTTCACTCACGTTCAAAAATTTTCTTATGCGTTCATTTTAAAACCGTTAATTTAAATTTTTCTATAATTGAACACATTACTCTAAGTTGAAAAAGAACAAATTTAACCCTAGAAGAGAGAGTGTTTAGTTTATTTGATATCAAAATTAACATCCTTCATGTCATAAAATGCAAAATAGTTAAAATAAAATTCAAGTTTAAAGTTCAGAAACAATGCTGAAAAAAATTACAATTTCAACATAAACTCTGATTGACGCAGATGTTCGAGATAGAGATACAGGCAACTACACCTGCCATTCATCAAAAGCACCTGAACACGTGGCCACAATGCAACTCACTGTTGTAGGTCTGTGGACTTGTTTTTTTTTACTTCAAAAATTTTTTGAAAATAATTTTTATTATTATATTATTATTTCAGTGTTTTAGCATTTTCACGCGTCACATTTCAAAACATGGATCATTAATGATAGTGGCAATTTCAATGAAAACATAAATCCGGATATTTTAAAATAATTTCTAACATCAAGGTAGTGAAAAAAACCTAAAATTTTCAGTTCCCATGTATGAAATACAGCTGAAAAAAATGGGCTCATGTTCAGAAATGCCATACAGAAGTCCTCCATCTTTTGTGGAAGGCGTCAGTTGTGGATTGGCTTGCATTACAAACATGGATGGGTACGTCCACAAAGCGCCAGTCATGAAGTTGATGCTGGACGGCAAAGAAGATGTCAGCCATCTCTTCAGTGGTAGGCTGGCCGTTTCAAGGATTACATCTGAAACCGGTTAGTTCATATGAATATTATCTCTATTTGAAGTAATCTTTACAACGCACATCTTTTTCAATGTTTGCAAAGTTGCACCAACATTTTTATATACATGCTTACTTAATTATACAATTTTTTCATTCCCTCTCACTAAACAAATTACTCAGCTTTACATTACTCTCCAATTTTTTAAAAATAATTGTGAACGAACAAGAAGATAATCGTTGAAACACTTTCAGGCCAAGTGCAGTACACATCCCGCTACATATCGTATTACAAGACCATGCAACCAATGCCCCATTTCAACGGGAGAATGTTGACCTGCCATGCTTACTACCCGCAGCATAAAAACAGCGTGATGGAGAAGAGCGTTGGCATTGGAACTGAACTTGTTACATTTTGTTAGGATTAATATTATTCATTTACAACTTCCGTATTTTTAAATCTATTGAAATTCTATCATCTAAATTTGAAAGTTTTGATTGGAGTTAAATCGAACCTAAAACTCAAATGTAAATTTTCAATTTAAACCATGTATTCTTATCAACTACAACATTTCAGACAATCCAAAAATTTTGTGCAACTCATATTCAATGAGCGCTGATGTGGGTAGTGACATCTCCATCGAGTGTTCGGTCGAATCGAACCCATTAAGCGGTCTCGCCTGGGAGCTCAGAAAGAACAAGTCACAGGTCTACCTGACTCCCAATGATTTTGACAATGTTTCTACTTTGCTTAAGGTTTGACTTTCGTTTGTTGTTTGTTTATTTTTAGGTTAAAAATTAAAAATTGAAAAATTAAATATGTACAAAATCTGAAGAACAACATATAATACAATCTATAGTTAAAGAATTCCTTCACGACAACATCAACAGCACCATATTATATACAAACGGATCAAAAGTAAATCAATCCCCAAAGGCAGCTGCGGTGATTGATGAAACTGAAATAACACATACATATTCACAGCTGAACATCAAGCCAATAATATGGCCGTAGATCGCATTAAAAACTAAACCAATAAAAATATCATATTAATAACGGATTCTTTGTGATATGTAAAAGCACTGGAACAGTCCAAAAGTAGTAACAGCCTAGTTGGCATATTCACGCTTAAAATCCATAATATAGCTCAAAACAAATGCCAACTCAAAATAATTTGGGTGCCAAACCATATGGTATTGAAAAGGTTACCTGGCACTAGCAGTCCATAAAAACCGATAGTGAACACTGTATGAGGCAATTGAAGCATATCATACCCTTAACTGAACAAAAAAGATTTAAAACAAACAGCACTCGATTTACAACATAAAAGTCAATAGAATAATGATGGGACCCACAAAAGTTAACATATGCACAGGTGTTAAATAGGACGGGGCAACTTATTGCCAATATTGCAGTCATAATGCAAAGTTATCAAATCAACACATAATAGCTTGCGAAACTTCATTTGCTGGCAATCTAATTGATAAAAATTTCTCAAAAAATTTTAAGACGCGTGAAAACGTAACTAAACTAATAGAATTTCTATAATACATAAGTTTACATGATGCGATTTAATCAAAACAAAAAGCCACATAAGAGTAAGACCCCGTACAAACATGGCACACCAAAGCGCCATCCGGGAGCTGAAATGCCTTAAAAAGGAACAGAAGATTACAAATCTTGTCGTGGAAGATATAAAGAATCTTTTAATATTATATACATAAAGTATGAAAATATTAGAAAATATTTAGAAAAATTTAATGATATTTTAATATTAGAAAAAATAAGGTTCGTATTAAAAATATTTAAAATATTTAACTTGAATTGAAACAGGATGTAAGATCGGGCAAGAGAGTGATCGAATTGAAGATTAACCACGTCGTACCTCAAAACTTCGGGCATTACCACATTCACGCCATCCATCCAGTCACGAGCAAGATGAGCGTTGCTACCGTCGAGTTAATAAATTCATCGTCAGAATAAACTCTCCACATTTCTTCAAGTCTTATTTTTGAAAGTATTATAATCACTTTTTTATCGTCATGTGTGTTATTTATTTATGTTCATATTCATTTATGCAATACCCATTCATGCAATATTCATTACAAACTTAAACATTATAATCTTAAACGTTGAAATATTGTTGTGATCTATATTTATTCCATTTTTTGACGTTTCTGTCAAAATGTATCTTACTTAAAAATAAATTTCTTTTTTAATAATTTTTATGAGAGTATTTTTTTAAACTCGTGGTTTTCCAAATACAAAGTAGATCATTGTCTTCCATTATTTTACTACAAGGTTATTCGAAAGTTCGGAAATTGAAACTCTTATTCATAGCCAAATATGTCCATCTTTGTTTTTCATCAAATGAGACACAACACAGCCTGAGCGCGAATCATGCTGACACAAATCTGAAAGGAGCGTGGCAATTTAATAAAAATTATTAATAAATTATTAAATGTTCCCATTCCAAAGTTGAGGCAATCTAGTCAATAGTCTCCATATTGGGTCCTACTACGTCGTGTTTCTAGCTGCTATTTATCTCCATCTGACATGTTTCCATCTCTGTCGATTCTATTTTTTAAAAAAAGGAATTTTGATTGCGATAAAGCTGAATAGCATTTTAAAAGATTTGATGTTTTTGTATACGTGTTCTTATAGAAGAGTTCTGGAGTTTAATACATTTTGATCTGAAGTTTTTAGTAAGTCTTTCATTGGTTAGAAATTTTTTTTATTTGGGCTACAGTTTTTAGATTGACAATATTTAGAAAAGTATTTCTTAAAAAAGAAAAAAATGGGAGAAGCTCGAGTTGAAAGCTGTGACTGTCTACGGAAAATTTTGAGTAGCGATCATCAGTTGAAGATGCCGATATAAATTGTAGAAATTAGACAACCAACATTTCATGGTCAATTTAATTAACAATTTTAATAGCATTTGTGATGTTATTCAGTTTCTGTTTATTTTTACGTTTAATTTGCTGTAAAATTTACATGTAATATAATGAAAAAAATATAATAGCCTAAGACAATTATAAAGTAACATAGTTGTTGGTGGTTAGGATGAATAACATTTTAACCGAAGCCCAAATGTATATATTTAAAATTGATAGTTTTGATACGTTCAATAAAATATTTAAATCAATAAAATCTCAGTTATAATGAATAATAATTTTTAGAATAAATAAATGGAAACTCTTTTATTTCAACCAAAGTCGTTAAAAATGAAAGATAAAAGTAATTTAAAAAAATGTAATAATGTTCAATAAAAACCACAATGCTCATTGTCTAGGACAAGTGCAAAACGGTAACGTATTCAAATTGGTTATGAAGTGTTTCTATCGCAATGAATAATAATAATAATAATAATAATAATGGGAACACTTCTTTTATTCAATCAAATATCATAAAACATACAGGATAATACAATATTCAATATATATATTAATAAAAATCCAGTTATTTGATAAAACCCTATTACTCATTATCATTTGACAAGTGCAAATAGGAGGCTTATTTAAAATGGTCATACAATACAATAGCGTATGTCGATTTAATTACAGAATTGATCAATTTGAATAGCAGTAGTAGTAGTAGTAGTAGTAATAATAATAATAATGTTTATTTAGGATATTATTATCATTGATAAAAGTAATGTTTCCTTCATTTATTAGAGCGGCTGGTGACCTAGTGGTGAAGGTCACCTGTTGCTGTTCCTTTAAGAGACCAGTTCAGAATACCTATGATGGTTAAGAGACCCTCACCTTTCACATGTTTTGTTATGTGCGTGATGCGTCGTCGGTTTCTTTTTAACTTCGAAGACTGTGATCGACCTTTCAACATTTTTCTTGTTAAATTCGTGATTTTACGCTAAATCGTACGTTTATAAATACAACAACGTCAACAATCTCAAAAATTACGCATATGGGAAAACGTTCCTCGTCACGGTATTTCAAATAGGCTTAAATCATTAGGCTATTAATAGTAGTTAAACGCTGTTTAGCTGTTTTTTAATAAGCATGCAAGTACGGCAGGAGCAGGTGAATCGAACAGGTGAACCATTTGATCGTCATAAATTTTTATTATTTCGATTTAGTTTGATTAAATAGAATGAAATAAACCACATGAAAAATACAGAATTAAAACATCCAAAGTTTCAATGAAATAAGCAACCTTTTCTTAGTCTTAAAATAAATGAATCTAACATCTATCCAACCAGCAGTGACAAATCTTCAACATTTTGTTCTTGTTTGTCTTTTCAATCGAGTGTTGATTTTCTGAATAGAACTCTACGACTGTTAAAAACAGCAACAACGTTATCGTTACTATCATCACCGTCATCATCACCACCACTATCATCGTCATTAATAGAATTATTATTTTATTTATAATAATCAAATCAATTTTATCCAAACAAAACAAAAATTATGAATGAATGATTTGGAGACCAACAGAAATTTTTTGGGGCTCGACCACCGTGTAACTTAAAATAGCTTTTCAATGTTCTGGTAAAATAAATAATATAACGAGATTAGTTCGTGTTTTGCACCAGAATAACCAAACTAAATAAAAACTGTTAATATATAAAAAAAAATATGTCAATATTAATGAAATTGAATTTTAACCAATTATTATCCTTTAGAGAAAGAACTTATCGTAATTAAATACATTTTAATAAATTAATAATAAGTATAATAATAATAATAATTATTATTATTATTATAAATCACCAAAAATTACGTGCCACGAAGCAGCTGTTGATCTGTTCAGAACGAAGTTCAGATTGGCACCGGTCAGTAGACTAGCCAAAAAATTATTTCATAGAAGGTGGGGGGTTGAATTTTCACTGCCTGTTTTTGCTTCTCGCTTATTTTAACATTTTTATAAAATTTCTGGCGCTACCGTCTGCGTATACCATATTATTCGTGAACCATGAACACACGGGGTTGTCAGAGCGTAGGCACGTAATTCAAATCAGACGATCCTGCTGTGGAGATCAATTAGATTCGTATTGTTAAAAAAAGTAGTATATTAATTGGCACTTTCACAGTTCAGAAAGAGATTTGGTAAACGTCTCATCGTAAAACTAAACAAAGTCTGAGAAAAACGATGGTGTTATTTATGGTTATATTTATAGTGTCGTCTTGGTTGCAATGCACGACATATATATATATAGTTATCTACATGATTAAATGATATGATATGATCATATGGTAGAGTATATAATAAATTCTATATATATGAACGTTTTAAAGCTTTTTTCATTCTGATGGCTCAGTACATTTTCAGAAAAGCGCGGGCTCTTTTAAATCATATATAAACTTTTTTAAAGAAAATCACGTGACTCTTGAAAAATATGGCGTTTCCAAACTTTTATTAAAACCATTTTTTCTTTTACAGTTTACGTATTTGTAATGTCATTATTGATATAAATAATAAAAATTATTACTAATGTTTATATTATTTATTATAATATTATTAATATTTATATTATTAGCAGATGTTATTAATATTAATAAACAATAGGCCTATCGATATATGTTACCACACACACACACACACACACACACACACACACACACACACACACACACAACTATATATATATGTATATATATCTATATATATATATATAATATTATTTATATTTATATTATTAACAGATGTTATTATTTATAAAACTATCTTGATTTATTTAGTCAAATTTACGCTAAATAAAATAAACAATAGGCCTACAATATGTTACCACACAAACACACACACACACACATAAATATATATATATATATATATATATATATATTACATATAAGCTACTACTTGATTGGCCGAACACAGCAGGTTTCGTTCAACGGGAGTTTGTCCTACGTCAGTGTGGTTCGCTCCGGTGTGCCGCAGGGATCTGTTTTGGGTCCTTTAATGTTTCTGCTTTATATATCTGATGTGTTGAAGATAATTGATTCCTATGATTTTAAAAGCCATGCATATGCAGACGACATTCAAATTATGTTATCAGGTAAACCGAAGTTATTTCAAGACGAGATTACGAGATTCATTGAATGTATGGCGGAGGTTAATCTGTGGATGTCGAGAAATGAATTGAAGCTTAACCAGGGTAAAACAAAATTTCTTCCTATTGGTACCTGGCAGCAGTTGGCGGTCTTGGATATAAATTCAGTTGTTATGAATGATAAAAAATAGATTTCTGTAAAGCAGTGTCGAACCTAGGTTTTATAATTGATTCAAACCTAACAATGAAATCTCATTTAAAGATGATCTCTATATCATGCTTGGCACAGATTAGAAGAATGAAACGAATTCGAGAATCACTTGATAAAGACGCAATGCAGACTCTGGCGCACGCGTTGGTGCACTCACGTGTCGATTATTGCAATAGTTTATTTTATGGACTCCCGGCTAGATCCATCAAAATTCTGCAATCGAAACAAAACCGTACTGCCTGGATTGTGGCTGAATGTCGATGGTATGATCATGCCACACCGATCCTGAGTAATTTGCATTGGCTGCCCATAAATAAAAGAATTGTTTTTAAAATCTCTGTCACAGTTTTCAAATCACTAAATGGTCTGGCTCCAAAATATTTATCAGATAAACTGGAATTAAAAACGTCGATCGCATCTGGTGTGCGTCTGAGGTCTGATGATTCGAACATTCTTGTGGTTCCTCATAGACAGCTAAAGATTGGATCACGTGATTTTGCTGTGTCAGGCCCTGTCGTATGGAACGGCTTGCCGTCAGCCCTCAGAATGCCTGGAATGAACATTGCTGAATTTAAAAGACAATTAAAGACATACCTTTTTTCATTATAGTTTATCTCTTTTCATTCTTGCTATTTTGTTATTAATATTACTTATAATTTGATAGCGTTTGTGAAAACTGCTATAACAAACGCTATATTAAGTTTTCTCTTAATAATAATTATATATATATATATATATAATTAAAAATATGGCTAACAAAAAGAGAGAGAGAGAAAGAGAGAAAGAGAGAGAAAGAGAAAGAAAGAGAGAGAGGGAAAGAGAAGGAAAGTGAGAAAGAGAAAAAGAAAGTTAAAGTGAGAAAATTGAAAGAAGGATATATAACAAATTAACAATACATACCCACGAGCCCACAAGAATTAATTTTCTTTTTTTGGTCTCCGAATCATTCATGCTTTTGTTTTGTTTGATTGAATAAAAGTGATTTGATTTTGATTTGATTTGATTTGATATATTACGTCTTGTTAGAAAAAAATGAGAAACTCAACTACAAGTTGAATAATGCCGGATACGCAGTGATCTTTATAAATAATTGTATATATATATATATATATATATTCATATATATATACATATATATATATATATATTCATATATATATACAAATATATATATATATATATATATATATATATTTACAATATTCTAACAGATGTTATTATTTATAAAACTATCTTGATGGTCTATTACCAACATATAAATATATATTCATAATATATATTCATATATAAATATATATATGTATATATATATATTGCAATAGGTTTCTTAAAAATTAAATTAAAATTTACGCCTACTATAATTATAATAATGATTATTCACAAGGAAAAAACGTTCATCATAGTAATAATAACAAATAAGCAATTAATAATAATAATAATAAGGTTATTAAAAATATTAGCCACATAATATCTGGGATAAAAATAGAATAGAACTGCGTTGCAATAATGAAACGCTTATAAGGGAATTGTTGGATCATATTTTGTTCGCGTCGTGGGAGCGAGAAATTCTCATCGACCTTTCTTCGGAATGAAGTCTGTCTGGTTTTGTTTGATTTTTTTTCAAGAATTTATTTTTAATAATATTTTGAAATTGGAACTCTCGCGTTTATTTAGACTTTTTCAAATAATAGTTTGTAATGATGTTACGATTATTTTTAATTTGCTTTTTCCATGTTTTTTGTAGTCAATAATATTTTTAGTGGCATAGAGCGTTAACATAGCGTTTTGTAAAAAAAAGTGTTCAGAAAAATAAAGTCCCTGACAGTTTTTTCTGTTTGGTCTAGGTTTATCAAATTTGTTTCTTTGAAAGGCTTCCTACTTGAATAAAACATTATTTATAGGCAAATGTCTTTTGTTGTGATATCGCTATCAATGTTTTAATACCTTTTTCGAACAGCATAGAATTATAACAATATAACATTTCCCATTTCATGTGACACCAAATTTAGCGGTCTGATGAAGCGGATTTTTCTCTTCTAAATAAAGCTATTTATTTACCAATTAATTTGAAAAAATTGCAAATATTGAGTTTTTTCGTGGTTTTGACTTCCTACAGCTTTGATTTTAACGAGGTGTAAGGTCTGGTTTCATGTTTTTCTCAGTATATATTCGACCAGTGTTTAAACCATATAAAAATTTTTAAAAATTAACTTATTAGAAAAAATGAAGTCAATGTAAATTATTTAAAAATGTATCATGAAAATTTTAATGAAACAATTAACTCGAAACAATTGCTTTATAAAAATATGGAAAAAATATAAAAAGTTTATTATCATTTACTAATTATTTTTTTTAAAATATTGCAGGATCATTTCCGTTTTCCTAATTTTTTCCCAACTTTGTGTCATCAAAGCAAAGCCAGATTTCTACCCGTACGGACCTGCGAATGGAGATTCCGCCCTGGCTAAACAAGACGATGCTTTTACGACAATTAACATCAATTTTGAATTTCCGTTTTTTGGGAAAACCTTCTCTCAGATTCACATAAGCACAAATGGAATTATTTTTTTCGGACAAGGTAGCACTCAATACGTGCCAACTCCTTTTCCAATTAACGGTACACTATCGGTTGCAGCATACTGGGTTGACAGTGATCCAAGAATGGGTGGTGATATTTATTACAGAGAAGAATTTGATCCTGCTATATTGAATCAAATAAATAGATTTATAAAAAGTAAATTTGTTCAGTTTAATACGTTCACGAGCTCATGGTCACTTATTGTAACGTTTAGCAACGTCTCTAGATTTGGTTGTCAAGGAAGTGCCGTATATCCATGTCAAAACGTAGTCAACCATCAAACCATCCTAACTAGCAACGGCATACATTCGTTTGTAATCTTCCTTTACGACAGACTGGAATATTCAAATGCTCAGATTGGATTCAATGCCGGTGATGGAAAAAGATTTTACCAGGTTGATTACTCTAATACGGTTAATATATCAAAATACGCTTTAGAAAATAGTAATGTTGGTTCTCCAGGTGAATGGCTGTTTTCAATAAGTGATGAAATTGCCTCTGCATGCAATTCATTGGGAATGCTGGAAATTTATCCTATGAAAGTGCTATATTACGGACAGCAAGATTTGTTCATAAGTGGACCTTGTTTCGACGAGAGCATAAATGAAGTTGATGTTAAATTTGGGAATGAAGAAATAGTGAAATGCCAAAAAGAAGGAAAACTTAAGCTTAAATGTTTAACTCCGTATTTTGATTCCAGCAGCCGAATTTCAATTACATTAGAATACAAAAATGTGTCATACAAGACTTTTCTTCTGTCATACGATTTTAAAGATTCGCTTGTGAAAAATATCTCATATTATTTTCATAATGAAGGCGAGGATAATTATCCAGCGTTTCAATGGGATCGGACGATGTTTGACATGGAAACCGTTGAGTTGCGAGGTCTAAAACAAATCATTATGAGAGATGAAAATGGAAATTTAATTCATGAAAATATAAAATTTATAAAAAAAATTAATAACACTGGAGTTTACAGCGTAACTTTATTGGAAAACCAATTAAACTTGAACGATAATAATGGTCCAACTGCTTCAAAAGTTTTAGCTAACGTTGTCACGACTCGATATCTTTTAAACATTTTTTCACGCGTATTTGTAACTTATCTAGCCAACAGAGTATTTAATGACATAATGTGCCAAAATTGGTACAATAATGAAAAAGATACTGGAGAAATAAATCGGATTAAAGAAGAAGAATCAAGAAGAAATCCTTGTCAACCAACTGTGCCTGGCAACTTTCCAGAACAGCTAAACGGTTTTTCGAGAGACGATGCATGTAATCCAACTCTTAGAGGAACTGCTGGTTGTTTTCTTTTTCATAATGGTGCTAAAGGGTGTTACAGAAGTACTAACAACCCAAACAACATAGCTGTCCAGTGTTGCTACAATAGTAACAACATGTTAATTGTTGGACCGCCAGGTGGAGGAACGTTGGATTTATATGACTCCGAAAAATCAAAATGGGAACATTTCAAAGTTGATGTTTTACCATACTTTCAATGTTGCATCTTTTCTGATCAGTGTGACAAATACTATGAAAAACGACCTTCCGTTGATTCCAGGCATTACGTTCCACCACGTCCTGTGCCGGCCCGAGGTGATCCGCATTTCACTACGATGGATGGAACTTCTTACGAGTTCAATCCGGTTGGAGAATTCGTTTACTTGCAAGTACCAAACACCACGGTACAAGCGAGAATTAAGCAGTACGTAGACAGGAACAATGTACCCAAGCCGGCAAGCTACTTTGCCGCGTTCGCCATAAAAATTTACGACGACCTGACTTTACAGATTGAGTTTACAGCTACAAATAAATTACAATTAAAAGTTGAGGGTGTGATTTGGGATGAGGAATCGTTATCTTTACCGGAAGTTAGTGCAGTAATCAACACCACCCTCATCAGCCTGCACACAATAACTGGACTCAGTTTTCAGTTTTACAACTTGAACAACATGATTCATGTTATAACAGCTTTACAACCCAGTCTTAAAGGACAAGTCTCTGGTTTGATTGGAAATTGGGATGATGATCCGTCGAATGATTTCATGCTGCCCAATGGGACGTGGATTCCAAAAACATCCTCACCTGAAGACATTCATTTCAAATTTGGCATGTCGTGGGCAACAACTGAGAGGACAAGCATTTTCAGCTATCCTGATGGTTTGAAATGGAGTGATTACCGAAATTCGAACTTTGCTCCATTCTTCGGTCAACCAACAAACTCCTACCCTCAGTGTGGCAACAACTCTCAATGCATATTTGACGCGTTCGTTACAGGAGATGTGAATGTCGGATTGACTAATGTTGTCATTCAACAGGCAAGTGACAGGCAAGTAGTGGAGTACCAACAAATGAAAAAAACATGTATCTCAGTCATAAACATTCTTCATGCTACTGTCAATATTCAGAACAATAGCGATTTCACTCGTGTCAGCTACTCAATTGCGTGCAAACCTGGTTTTGTACTGAACGGCCCATCCTTTGTTAGTTGTGTCGACGGAGAACTGAGTGGAGAGTTTGGGAGTTGTTCAGCCGTATCAATTGATCTTCCTACAACTACATTTTTTAGAACTACATTCATATCAAAGGCTTTCCAATCAAGTTCGCTCACTCCTACGTTATTGGTTTTTGTTCTACTGAATGTTGGGATGTTGGTCGGCTGCCGTTGAAAGCCATCAGTTCATTCAAGTTTTGAAAGTTCTTCAGCCTAGACTATTGAAATTTTTTACTAAGACTTTTGTTACTTTTACTATCAATAATGATTATTTTAAAACATTTAATCTGCTTCTAATTCGAAAAACATTAATTCATTTTTTTCTATGATTTTTAATTTCAACGTTTGTTCTGATTGCTTTTAATAAAATCATTTATCAATCGTATTTTTTGTTTCATTTATAAATATATGTAAATAACGTTGCAAACTCTTCAAATACGCTAAACTGTATATAAAGGATGAAGCGGGAATTTATCCAGGGATTTATACCAGGACCAAAACTTCAGGCATATAAAGGTTAAGAATTCTTTTCCACACGAGTAAGTTTAATTCAGAAACATTCCAGGATTGCCGAGATGTTATACAGAGATGTAGCTAGGAAGTTAGATGAGTTATAGGTAGGTATTTTTCGTTTCTAATGAAAGGCTTGACATGAGCATAACTGAAAACGATTTATTGACATAAACAAGAGCTATCATATTTATAGATCGAATGAAGTGAGATTTTTAATAAAAGGAAACAAATGATACTAGAAAAATAAGAAAATAAATCTAAAAATGACGAATATTCATTATTATTATGATGTTTGAAACGTTTAGGTGTTTGAAATTTTTTATTTGATATGACAGCTTTTTAGCTGTTATTTCCACAAATGTCATGAGTTTTGTGCTTTTTTCCCACTTACGATGTTTATTTTTAAATTACATTGATCAATTTTGATCTTTAACTATTTCAATCCAAGAAAATGGCACCATAGGCCTGTCTTATTTTTATTCAACTACAATAAACTATTAAGGAAAGTTATAGTTTAAATACTTTAAAAATTTTTTTAAAATATTTAATTTTATTTTTAAAACTTGCAATTTTCTTCATTTTATTACTCACACAACTTATTGTCCCATGTGCACGGTTAGTTAGTGTATAACAAGAATGTTAGCAGAACAATGAGAGGACAGCTTTCAATTGATATGCAAATGAAAAATTGTATTGAATGTATGTGCACTCGTAAGTTAGTTTTTACTTGTTGAAAATGGCCACGAGTCACAAAACCACGTTCATTCGTGTAAATAAATCTAGAAAATAATATTTCTAATACATGTTGTTTTATCCTGTCAAAAATGAAACTTGGATTCATCAACAAGTAAGACAAAATATTTTTATTCTCAATAATTTCTTTTTTATTTTTGAAATGAAATTTTTTTGAAATGAAATTTTTTTGAAAAGAAATCCAATGATAGATTCATAACCTTTCAATTGTTATGTTTTGCAGAATATTAAACAGAGCAATGGCACGCACGTTAACAGTAATTATGTTCATAACTTTATACTCCCTCTTAACATTCTACATGGTCAGCAGGATGCAGCACGAATGTCCAACGGCCAGGGAGATAGCCAATGAGTTGAAAACTTTGAATGTAGTTCAGTCAAATGAAGAAAAACTAACAACTGTCCAACGTATGGTTGTTAATAAGATCAAGATGAACTCAAGTGATGAACAGCCTTATTACGTAAGTGACTTGAGGCATGTTAATGATCTCTTGGATCGTGATTTCATTCCTAACACAGCTTACTACATCTGGTGTGGCAAAAGATGGTATGAATTTCCGCATTACCTCAGTGTTTTGAGTTTGATGAAAGAGCTCAGGCCGGATAATATAATTGTCTATTACAATTACTATCCTATTGTTGATGAATGGCTGTACAACACCTGGTTCAAAGAATTGACTGAAAAGTTTCCTTTCTTCAGGGCCATTCCACTAAACGAGTTTAATGTCTGTGACGCAAGAGATAGACCAGAACCAAATTTTATACGTAATCTGTTAACAAACAGTGGAGGTATATACTTAAGCGATACCACTATTTTGACGAACCTCCCCCAGGATATAAGAACTTATGACGTAGTCGATGCAATGAACTGGGAAAGTGGGTACGGTTTCGTGATGGCAAAAAGAGGTGTCATCAAAAACTATAATTACATCAACAAGCAATTAAATTCTAAAAACTTGAAAACAAAGACAAAAAGGTTAGTTGTTTGAATGAATTGACATTTTTCTACTACTAGATGGAATGTAAATATAGTTCGACAATTGGAGTAACTTAATATTTAATTCACCAACCAGCTTTGAATGCATACATTCCAACAAACTGAACACGCAGAATAAAAAAAGAATAGCGTGTGTTTATCAAACATTTATTCTTTTTCCGAAAGATATCTGGGAATTGGATACGTCGTTTGGTAGACTAACCAGGTCATTATTCTACGGATCGCCTTCTATACCAAAACCTAAACCATCAAATGCCACACTGGTCCCTAACATTGCTCATGTGGTTTGGCTGGGCGGTGGAGAAATGGATTTTCTCTTTCTTCTGTGTATTTTGAGTCTGCTGAATGTAGCGAAAGTTGACAATGTGTACTTGCATGGAGATGGTCCTCCAAAGGGAAAGTATTGGGACCTGGTGAAAGATAATGCCCGACTTCACTTGATACATAGGGAACATCCTGGAACAATTTATGGCACGCCTGTTAACGTAGGTTTGTTTTTTAGCTTTCGTTTAGCCATATTATGTATAATGCTTCATTAATGTTGATCGATTGTAGAACAAACTGAATTGAAAATTCATCAGGTTGTGTCCCACGTCACAGACATCTGGCGAGTTGATTTCATGGTGAAGTATGGCGGTATATACGTTGACACGGATGTCGTGTTTGTGAAACCGTTAGACGAGAGAATAAGAAGTTACGATGCAGTAGCCACGTACGACTGGACTTATTGGAACCACCCGTTTCCAGATACCATAAATTTTGGCGTATCGATAGGGAAAAGAAATGCAAAATATTGGCATTTGTTTCAGGTTTGAATAGTTATTTCCTAAAAATAATTCAAAAAACGTATATTTGCATACACATTTTTTAGGAAACAATGAAGTGGTTTATAGATAAGGATTGGTCATGGAACGGACTGAGACAGCCATATAAAGTGCTGGAGAAACATCCAGATTTGGCTCTGATTGATCCCCACCTGTCTGTTAGCATCCATAATTTTCATTTGAGTTTTCAAAAAAATTTGAAAAAAATGCTCATTAAAAGATGTTTTTTTACAAAACAGTATAACATGCAAGCTACATAACTATCAACACGCCAACACTTCAATGCTCGCCACCTGAAGTTTGTAATTATTTATGTCAGGTCATCTGCTTCCAAAGTTTATGCCATCCAACCTGGTGGCCCGATTATCACAACGAAAGTATCCACCACCTGAACACAGGAAGTATAAAAAATTGGAGAGAAGATGTTTTTGCGTTCCACTGGACTTTACCAACCCCATTTGAATTACTCAATCCATCCAACCTACTCTCAAGCACTTCCATGTTTTCGGAAATAGGTACTTACGTTCTTGAACAGTCGAACCTCTTGGAACACTTCAGAAGAGAAACAGCCACTCAAACGCCATACGACAGGAAGCAGTAGAAATCGCTAAGCAATAAAACAGCAAATTTCGTTTGAAATATTTATAAAAAATCTTATTTATTTTTTAATGGAAAATAAATTTGGAAAATACAGTTTTTTCTACAATTAAACTATATTAGATTACATGAAATGCTATCCAAAATTTACGTAGAACAATCCAAGCAGAAACATGAATGTTGCAACACATTTTATTGTACAAAAATGTTCTATGTATAAATACTAGTGATTAGTTAGAGAAAAACGTATAAATACCATGTTAAGTATTGAAACATTTGAAACGATGTTAGTTTCAACTAATGGATGCATCTAACAGTACTATTTAAAGAAAAAGGTTTATGTACCTAGAAAAAAATCAAGCTGTAAGTAATAGCCATAATTTATTACAATTTACTTATAATCCTAAAAAAAAATTTAATTCACAAATAATTTTTTGTAACAATGAATAAATTCAATGGATATTACGCAATCGTGGCCAACCAATTAGCTTTAGACTCATTCATTCATAAAGTTAGGTGACTAATTAAGAGAGGACGAAAATAAATTAATACGATGAAATCATAATAGGCACTTAAAATTCGAATTATTAATTAATTAGTTATCATAGTGCTAAAATTCAAAGTCAATTTCGGTTGTTTGAAGGAACATCAATAATAACTATCTCCACAAGTACGCAAATTACAATCAGCAAGTAAAGGTGAAAACAATCAAATTATTGATACGATTGATGTATGCGAAATTAATGATGTTCAATTGAATTACTGAAAAAATGATAAAAATCACGTTAACACTCATAAATTGTTGAATAATAATTAAAAGCAGAAAATGAAAACATTCTTGATAAGTTGTACCACATGCACATACCTCCTATTTAGTTGTTTCAAACAATTAAAATATCAGTTTTGCTAAAATGCATAATGTCACTTTCACTGCTTCTTAACAACTTTGGATTCTAAAGTATCTAGGAGAGTCTGAACAGACACAACTGCATCCTTTCTGGCTTTCCTGATTTCATCTTTGCCCTCTGAATCAATCCTATCTAACTTTATGAGCAGTCTTGTAAGCATTTCTTCCTGAACAATGTAATTTTTATCTGTTTTGGGACCAGAAAATGCCTCAACAGCTGGTCTCCTCTGGTTAACTTCATCAACAATCATCTGAATGACCTCAAGAGCCGTTAAATTTGGAGGAGCAGGAGATGGTGATCGACCTCTCTTGACCTGGCCGACACCAAGTTTGTCCTCCTCCTCGCTCTTGTTTTCATTGTGATCAGGTGGAGGCATGGGGATCGGAACTTTAGGATTGGCTGTAACTGGCTCATTATCTGCTCCAGTAGGGTTTTGTTCTGCAGGGGTCTGCATTGTAGCTGGAGAAGATGGTTCAACAACATGAATAGGAGGAGGAGGCATTGGTATTGGAGGGGCGTTTGGAGGTAATAATGTGGGTTCATTGGAAGATGGGTTGACATTCAACGAAGCCTGCTGCTGTTGATCAGTGTTTTGTGGATTAATTTGTTCACTTCTAGGTTGAAAGTTGTATTCTGATGTGAACTGTGGTCTTTGTTCATTATTTAACGATGAATTGTAAACTTTGATAGGTACATTAAATTCAGCAGGTTGTCTTTTGGGAAAATGTTGAGAATAGTTACTGGAATTTGGATGTGAAGAGAAATATTGGTTTGGGTCCTGGTTGAAATGCGACTGTGATGGGGGCTGATCCATTTTTTGAAATCTTGAAAATGGATCAGAATCATATCTGTTTTGAAAGAAGTCAGCATTTTTGTTCATGTAGGACTGGTCAGGAAACCTGCTGCTGTTAAATCCCATGTCACGCGTAGCAGACTGCATGCTGTTGTCTACGCTTATTGGTATTTGTCTGCTATTGAAGCCACCTGCAGAAGCTGGACTGTTGGGTTGAAATCTCTGAGAAGCCTAAAAATAAAAAAAAAGTATGTATGAAACTTTTCTCAGAAATATTTGTTCTGTTGCTATTATAAATATTTATCAACAATATTTTTTTAAATAGAAAAAAATTCGAACATAAATAAAGCCAAACAGCATGAAAAAATAAGGACATCTTAATTTGGCAGCAGCATCAACAGTCCCTTCAAAAATTTTTTAAACAAATTGATAGAATGCAGACATGACACAATAACAAAAATCACTATTGATTAGTAATAATATTCACAATACCTAAATAAATTAGTGAATAAAAAGTAAAATCAATGGAAGGAAAGATATAAAGCTTAAAATTTTTAAAGAAAATAAGGAAGTATAAGAATAAAAATTAGAATATTATATTAATATAATATCAGCATTTAAAAAAAAAATTAAACAAAATAATGCAAACTGATTGGCGAAATGTTTCACGAGGATCAATCCAAGTAGTGCTCTTGTTGATGTGGTCAATAAAGAACGGCCACCTGGTCCTTGGATCAATCCTCATCTCCCATCCGTCAGGCAATCTCTCGTCCCCAAAACGATTGACTTCGTCATCTCCCAAGAAAAATTTAGACATCGATGACGAGGGTGGGTGAATGACCTGCAGAAAATTATATAAAAAAACCCTCAAGCCTTCACTAACTTAACTTAACTAAAAAAAAACTAACTCAAAAGTCAAAACCCAAAAAAATATCTTTCAACTCTCCAATGTCAAATTTTCTACTAATTCATTTATTATTTTATTGGATTATTATTTAAAATAAATATTTTTGGAGCAAAAGCACTATCACAAATTTTATAAAATGTTTTTTAAATTATTACAAAAACTTAAAAACACTATGGAAAAATGTAGAATGTTCTCTTGGGAGAGAGAAAAATCAAAACACAAGCTACTCAAACGGACTTAACATTTTAATAATCAAAAGCCTATTGGCTCAGTAGCCTTTGAATGATTCAATTAGACGAAAAAGATGAAAATTGAAATAAAAAAAAACCAATTTAATAAGCTTGGAAAAAATTCGTGGTCGACCAGAAATGGTTTGCAATGTTGTTGTATTAGAATATTTGTAACACTCTTGCCAATTTGCCAAAAACCAGAAAAAGTTAACTAAATTAATTAAATTTAGTTTTTCAATTTTAATAAAAATTAACTATATAAATATACAAAAATAAACATAACTTTAAAATTTGCTATTTTTTATAAATGGTGACTAAATTTAATAACTTATGAATTTAAATAAAATTTTATTTAATCATTGGTGCTTGTTTGTTGCCAATGTAAACAGTTCTGTTTGATGGCAGGAAGATGCATCAGCAAGGTTTTTTTATTACTTCATAATTTATATAATTATTTAATTATTAAATTATTATGTTTAATTAATTAATTATCTATTTAATTTATGTTTGTCTCGTCCGGGCAGATTCTAATTTAAATCTCTATCCCTGTTCTATCTGTGGTAGAAATTTTTCTGAAGATGTCCTGGTTTGTTTGTTTGGTTCAGATTTTTTTTACCTTAATAAACAAATTATAATCTAATAATTTTTAATGCAAAAAACCTACATTTGATATGTTAAAATTTATAAAAGTGAATTTTTTAATTTTTTTTTTCATAATAATAAAATAATTAATAAATAGATTAAAATTAAAAGTATTAAGTATTTTTTATTCACAATATTGTAAACTCCAGCCAAGGCATCAAAATATTTGTGCTAAGACTGCACAAAAGAAGAGGAAGGTTTTTGACTCATCCAAGCAGCGTGTGGAGGGCACAGAACTTGCCCAGCTGAATAAGAAAGCAGTTCATAGCAATACCATGAAAAAAGTTTTAACTTTTATTTTTTTCAAGAATTTAAATTTAATTAATTTCACTTTGAAAGTTAATTACAGAATTATTGCTATTATGTTTCAATATTTATTATTAATTACTTTACATTTTCTAGTTTTCATAATTTTAAAATAATTTACTTACAGACATCACATATGAAAGAATCAGGAGGAGTATGTAGTTGGCCGTTTTATAATTATCAAATTACAAATCTGTCATGTTTTTACATTTGATTAATGTTCAATTTTTTCAAATTTTTCCCGTAATAAACTTTTTGTAAAGTTTCTACACATTCATTTAAAGTTATTTTTTCAAATTATAAACATTCTCCAACACATGAACACTCAATAAGACTATAGGCGGTAAGAAAAGTTGGCAAGTGAAGCACGAGGAGTTCATAAGAACGATTCGTGAGGCGAGGAAAGTGCAGACCGCCATCGCATCTGGAAAGCCCCTGCCACCCCCTCCTCCTCCAACATTCAATCCAGGTGCTAATCTTATTACTAATAAACGATACTAATGATCATTAGTATCATTTATTAGATACTAATGATCATAAGTATCATTTATTAGATACTAATGATCATTAGTATCATTTATTACGTCCTACTACGGAACCGCTGTGTGATCTGATTAATTAATTGTTAAAAAAAAAATTAGCGCTACTCTAAATTTGTGTCCGCTTTCTTTGCCACTGAAGATTACGTGCAGTGTGACTACTGTGGTAGGCGGTTCAATGAGACGGCTGCAGAGAGGCACATACAATTCTGCAAGACCCAACATGAGAGGGTGCCAAGGGGTAGGGGAGACACCACGGCTGCCCAGAAACAAGCCGTCAGAACTAATGTATTAATTTGTTTTGTTTTTTTTGTTATTTTTTTTTGTTTATTAATTTGTGTTTGTTCTTTCTTTGATTTGTTTAATGTTTGTAATTTTTTTTCTGTCATTCGTTTGCATTTACGTTTGTTTACCGTTGTTTTTTCATATGCATTTCCTGTTTCATTCATTCTTTCCCTTTTATCATTTATTCATTTTTTTTTCTTATACAACCATTTGTTCATCTATCTATATTTATTGTTTAATTTATTTTTGTAAACTCTTCTGTCATTCAATCATATTAAAACCTACGTTATGAACCGAGTACCACGTACCACCACACAACACTACAACACATCACGCCACACACGCCACACCACACACGCCACGCCACACACGCCACACCAAACCACACATGCCACACCACACACGCTACACCACACAAACCACACCACACATGCCACACCACACGTGCAGTACCAACCACCAATGGCGAAGTCTCGCAAGCCACCACAGTCGAACATCTACCAACAGCAACATCCCGCCACGTACAACAGCAGGCAACAAAATCACAACATTATGGCGGACAGCAACAACAATAATGATTATGATTATGCCGACTCGCCGTCGCACGACGGGGCTGCAACTTCTTCCGGGAAGTACAGAAGCAACGGTGTCGGTAGCAAAAAAGGACCTGCTTATTCTAACGGCAGACCAAAGTCTGTTTTGTTTGGATTGCTCGGTGTTTGTTTGGCTGGTTGTTTAGTGCTTTTTTGTTTGCTTAGCTGATTGACTGGTTGTTCGATCTTTTGTTCGTTCGTTCGTTCGTTTGTTTGTTCGTTCTTTCGGTCGTTCGTTCATTCGTTCAGTAGGTTGGTTGATTGGAATTAGTGTGCTGGTATTGAGACGAGAAAATAATTCCAATAGCAATATGTTGATTAGCTATTTTGGAACGTCACTGTTAAAATTTGTTAATTTTCAGGTTTTTATTTTAAATTTTACTTAAGTAATTAAAAATCCATTGCGGTTGACAATTCAATACTTTTTTAACATTTCTCACTATAGTAATGCAGCACACTCCAACGTAGCAGGTTTGAAATTTTTTAAATATTCTCATTTCAAATGTTAATTTAATTTTTTTAATTCTTTTAACTAAACATACAAGCAGTTGCCCAATTAATCGCCGTTCCCCAAGCTCCATGATATTCATGTTACACATCTAATTCTACACTGGTTTTAAAACTATCATGCTCATTTATTTCTCAAGTATTTATCGAAAATTTTAACGAAACCTATACCACGTACGATTCTTGTTAAACACTCTTACGCTGAATCTGCTTTTGCCATTTCTGGTTCTTTTTGCAGAAACTCTCTTTCTCCTCCTCGAACCACTTCTCCGTCACTTAACGAAGTTCAAAGCGGATTGCAAGATCCATTTGTTCGCGTGAAATGGAACGCAACGGAAATTGTGCTTTAAAAATAAATTGTTTGATTGAGTTATATTTTCAATTAAACACACGAACTTCATTAAACTTTAAATATTAAAACCATTTATTTTCCAGCCAAGACAAACAGTACTAACGTTTTATCAGCTGGAAAGAATGTTGGTGACAATTTCTTTCACTTGTATCTTTAATGTTTGGTTAATAAGGTTTTATATTTTAAATTGAAAGCTATGAATTTCAGTGCAACTAATTTCACAACATAAAACTACATTCTATTCATAAATATTTTTCAAACACTCCATCTTTTCTGACGCTAGCCACTAACTAATAATATAATTGTAGTATTTTTTTCAAGTAACTTCATTTGAAGATAAAATATTATTTCGCACCGAGCAGAACACTCGAACGCCAGTGTCGGGGCAGGTTTTGAGGACGGGTCGCACGGCAGAGGCCTACACGGAAGCTCGACAGCTGAGTGCCAAACAGAGAATCAACATGCCTGCTTCCAAAAAGTTTCCAAGCTCCGATAGTATCAGGTGAGAGACCAGCACGTGATGTAGTTACTATTTTACACTTAGGTTGTGTCGAATAGTATCGACGATAGATATATTTCCAGATATTACTTCAAATAATCTAAATTATTGTGAAAGTTTGATTAATAAGCAGTTAATATTGATATGCATTTTTATTGAATGATCTGGAAAGTCCAACGTATATGAACAAGACCTCGTACCAGCCACCTGCACCGTCCGGCCAATCGTGGGCTAACAACAACCACCACAACTCTGGCGACAACAAAGTCGTCGGCAGAGGACGCGCCTCAGCTGGTCGTGGCACTCGCACGATCAAGATGGACAGTTCCTCCAACTTGACCACGCAGAAGCCAGGCGCCAGAGTTCCATCGTCGTCGTCACACAACACGAACTTGGTGGCAGGCAGGTTCTGCTTCGAGTGTGGAGCCAAGTTTCCAACGGCCACGTCCAAGTTTTGTTGCGAGTGCGGATCGCCGAAATGCGCCTGATGGTGATGTACTATTAAATTATGTCAGGCCTGCAAAATGATGTTTGTATGAATGTGTCTTCCTGTCTGCGTATATGAATGGCAACAACTATCTAAATACAGGCATGCGTGCCTGTTAGGACATGCACTATTTTAACGTAGATGTCGTATAATCTCTATCGTACATTGTACATATATAAGTAGAATGTATTTCTTGAAAGAAGATGATGATGACAAGCTAATGCACTAGGACATAAGAACTATAATGCACTAGGACATAAGAACTATAATGCACTAGGACATAAGAACTATAATGCACTAGGACATAAGAACTAATGTAGATAAACGACATGGCTTAACTAAAGATTGAGTGAAATGATGAAATGATATCCAATGAAGGGAACTATTTTGTATCGTCGTTGATATCCTCTGATCTGCAGATGAGTCAAATTTTTTACTGCATATAATTGCACATTTTATTGTACATAATACGTATACATATCTTAGCGTGTAAATTGTCCATGTAATATTCTCTGTAAATAACTGACAAAATCCATTAAATTTAAGATATGTACATTTTGTTATTCAATCCTGTAGTAACAAAGTGTGGTTACAAAAAGTTCGAGATGCATAATGGTTAAATTGTGTACTCCATTTCAATTTCGGTTCAATGGACACATTTCGATTTTTTTTTGTTTCATCAATGTTAATGTTTAGTTTTAAAGGATCTATTACGCACAATACACACATACACATTCTGATTTTTTCTATGTCTCTTTCTTTTTTGTGTTTTATGATACATTTCATTGTTTTGTATGTACGTGTATAAATTTAACTATTTATTTATATTGGTTTGCAAGCGTTAGTATTCTATTCATTTGTTAGTTTCTGATAGATTTATTGATCATTCCTACGTATCAAATTTCGAATGATTACAACTAGGCCTTGATGACAATTACTGCCCAGTTGATGACCGGCTGTTTAAAATGAAATACATACTTACAAAGGTAAGCGCGTTAAGACGACATAAAAATTTGGTAGAAATGAAACAAAATTCATTCATATTCATTCACAATTTCTACATTGCGACGTTTTGCTTTTAATACATCATTATGTAGATGTCATATTTTGAGACAAGACAAACTTTTCAATAAAAAAAACCCATGTTTCTATTAAACAAGTTTCAAATAAAAGCACACGAGTAAAATTTGTACGGATCAACTAAATTGTTTCAACTGAATTACATTAAAAATTCACTTGGGTTCAGTTAAGTTTTCAAATATCAATCTGTCTATGCTCGTTGAATCCGTTTATCATTAAGTTGATTATAACAATAATAGGTAAATATATTTTTCTTAGCATTATTCATGTATTGATATTTAAAATTAAAAATAAATCCATTTAACTTGACGAAAACGTTTGATGGTGAATTTAATAATTTAGAAATATAGCAGCAGATAACGTAAAAAAATTAAATTTGTCAGTATTTCGTTCCCTCCCAAACAAAATTGAACAAAGACATGAAAAAATAATATAACAAATTTTGCGGAAAAACGATTTCAGAATCTTTATACTCGAATGCAAAAAATAAACAATCCTTTTTGAGGATATGAAATAAAAAATGTAGTTTGTTGACAGGACAGAAGGTTGATGGAATTACTTGAGAAGCTTTGTTAAACGCCGGCGAATACTTTCAACTTTTAATTTGAGAACATGAAAAAAAAGTACACTGAAATGAAAATTAATTCAAGAAAAATGAAGTACATCTCGTTTGAATATTGGAAAAATAATTTGAGCGTACAACTAAAAAATAAAGTAGAAAAAAGGGCGAATTCCTTGAGTCTGGAATTTCAGGCAGCCAACTTGGAGGGCAGCGTATACTTGCCGTGGTCAGGAACGCAGTGTCCACTCTTCTCACCGCACCTGTAGCCATCAGGACAGCAGAAACCACCACAGCAGGTCCACTGAAACAGCAATAGATTTAGATTTTTAAATGTAAATGAAGTCATCAGGAAACACAAATTTCAAAGCTTTGAAATAAAAGATAGATGAGGAATAAATAATAGATGTTTCTTAAAACTTTACAGCAATTGAGAATTAGCAATCAATTTCGAAAAACTAGATTTTAAAATTGAAATAACATAAATAAACATAAAAAAAAAAAAAATTAAGAATAAACTGATGATAATAATGATAATAATGAACAATAACAAAACCTTGTCACCACAGCAAACTGGTTCATCCCCATCATCACCATAGCAGCATGAATAATTATGGGGACAGAGATGAGTGTGGAAATCATCGTCGTCAGCATTCCTCTTGCACTTGTTACCCTGGTCGTCCTGGTTCTTCGTGGCCACCCTCGCCCTCTTCCTGCTATAAAGCTCCCAAGGAATTGGAAGGTTGAGGGGTGAGGTCAGTTGAGGCACGCACCTGGAATGTTGCAGGTCGCATTTGTAACCCTGCGGACAGCAGTGCAGCTTGTCCTTGCAGCATACAGCCTGCGTTGGTGGTGTTCGCATCAAAGCCGTTACGATTGTGCTTCATCCATTTGTTTGAGTCAAGGTTTAAAATAAACTCTGCAACGCTGTTTCTATTACTATGTGTGGATTGCTACAGGATCAACATATTTTTATCGATACATTTCATCAAGTTATTCACCAATTCGCTCGAAAACTGTTATGCAAACGCAAGCATGTAAAGTCCAAATATTTAGAATTAATAAATCATGTTTTCCGTGTCAACAACACGCTACAAAACAATTAAACACATGATAACATGAAAAGCAGATCAAGTGATTTGATATCAATGCAAAACAACAAGTGACTCACGAACCATGGCGTACTGGCAGCAGGCATATTGCTTGTTAGAGAGTAGGCAGCAGGTTGAATCTCCAGGGCATTCAGACTTATCGGGACACGTGTCGCCGAGTGGACGCGCCACATTTTGTGGTCCGGCTGGTGGCAACTTTCCCAACGGCTGCATGCTGATCGAGATGTCGGCCATGTTGCTCTTGCACATCCCTGTTTCCGCTTGACATGTTGAACCGGCCGGGCAACAATGTTGAGTGCCGTTGCAACAAATACCCTGACTCAGAAAATGTGAATATGGCTGATGAAATTTTCAAATTTTCAAATTGATAATTACAAAAATGATTATTCTAATAAAATGACGAAGGTTAAAAACTTCTCATTGAATATAAAACTGCTCTCACGTCCTTGAAAGGACAGCATCCTTGCTCGCCAGCACCAGCACTACAGCACATCTCTCCCTCCTTACACATCATCTTCAGTTTGAGGTTGTTGTTGTGGCAGACGTGGGGCAGAGGAGCTGCCTTCAACTGAACAGACCAGAAAGATTTTTCTTCTCCATTAGGCTTGACCTTAGTACATCTTGACCTTGAAAGGTCACAAAGGTAACCTTCAGGGCACAGCTGAGTATGACTTTCATCACAGAAGACAGCCTGAGTAAGTTGAATATGGGAACGTCAAATTTTTTCAACATTCAAATACAGTAAAAATGAACAAGAATTCTCTATCATTCAGACGTCTGACTAAGGATTGCAAGGCTGAAGATCCAACTACTACTACGTGTTCATTTCTTCAAATGTTGTTGCAATCTCACAGATCAATTATTATGAATACTATGAACACACAGCCAGCCAGCTAGTTAGTTAGCTCACAAAAGACAGTACAAAGTAGTTTAGAAAAGTTAGAAAAAAACAGACCGTCAATAAAAAAAATAATGCAAATAAATGATATGAATTATATCCCGGCAACCTTTCGCGCTGTTGCAGTCATGATTGGCACGTCGTGCACTGCCTTCGGCTTGAAGAACATTTCGAATTTTTGTTTCTGACTTGAAGAAGGGAAGCACTTGTTAATGTATGGCATGCACCAGTAGGCACAACATCCCTTGCCATCCTGGCAACAACTCGCCTGGTTTCGTTTTTAGTATTTTTTGTTGTTACTTCTATTTTTATTATTTTGTGTTGTTATTAATATTTGACTTTATTAGGCATTTTTAAATATAATTATTGATCATCGAAATCTGTAGCATTTCAACACTTAACTGAAACTAAGATATCTACAATAGTCAAGGCAGAAATATAACAATTTAAGAAAAAAAAGTATAGCAAGCCAACATCGGGAAGAGGACAGCATTCGAACTTTCCTTGAGTATCTTTGCAGCATGTTTGGTTTTCCATACAATAAAACGTTTGATCACACATTATGACAGTCTTCCATTTTTGAAAAGAAAATTATTTCGCTTTTATGAATATCAGTTATATGGCTAAAAGGCAAAACAAATTTATTGTTAAAATTTTATTATTTCGTAACTAGAGATAAATGAATGTAAATTAAATAAATTTCAAAATTTCAGAATCAATAAAATGTAGCTAAAGATACGAATGACAAAAGTTAATTGAATTGAAAAAAAATATAAAACAAACAAACAAATAAAACTAACAAAAGACAAGAAAATGAAATTACTTATGTAACCAATAGTAACCTCTTTAGCGAGAATATTCAAAGAATCATCAACATCATCTAGACCGTCATTATCACTTGATGAAGAGGATGATGACGAAGAGGAAGATGATGACGAAGATGAAGTTGATTTAGAGTGGCATCTTTTCCTGGTTGTGTCGCAAATCTGGCCCTCAGGGCAGCAATGAATGCCGTCCCCACAACATACGCCCTGTCATTCATTATCACGCGATGATGATGACGATGACGAGAGTGATGATGATGATGAAGTTATGGCGATGGTAATGTAAGTAACGTATGCATGTAAACGATAACTCGTTCTAGTAACACAGATGACTTGACGTAATGATGGCGAAGACGACGACGATGAAGTTACTGTGATGATGATGGTGTTAAATGATAGGTGTATCTAGTGGTAATTACGACAACGATGATAAAACAATTTTTAAAAAAGTATAAATGTTGGAAAAACAACGAGCAAAAAAGCTAACATTGAGGAACATGCAACAGGCCTCATAGCCATTGTACATCATACAGCATGGATACCCAACGTCACAGAAGTGGGTCTTGTTAGGACAGAGGTACTCCTATTAGCATTAAAAAAAAACATTTGAATGTAGAAAAATATCGGATTATTTATCTTATTTTGTACATAATACTCACACAAATACACACCGCAGTACTGTATAACAAGCAATATCACAGTAGTACTTTAACACACACACACACACACACACACACACACACACACACACACACACACACACACCACGACACTTACATCACGAATTTTAACAGAACCACCGTTGTTAACCCCACTCTGAACATTCTTTGTACCATCCCCATCACCATCACCATGATGGCGACCTTCCAATCTGCGACCTTGAACTTTGGTGGACCAGGAATGTGACAGGCCGTCGGAAGCTTTGCACCGGGAGTGTTCCAGATCGCAAGAAGTACCTTCAGGACAGCAGTGTTCCTTGTCAGTGCAGCATACAGCCTGTTGAAGATTTAATTTTAGATTTCAGATAAAATTTAGGTTTAAATAAATCCAAAACAAAATGGCTGTTAATTCATTTTTTTATTTTCCAAGTCCGGATATTGGTTTATTGAAGAAAAATGACTAAACCCAGGTTATACAATTTAAGATTGGAAAATATTGGAATCGCCATTCTGTGGTTTGAATGGTAATTTTCGATTTTGACTATTATTAAAAGTTAAGTACATAAACGTAATATCCTAAAATTTGCAATAAATAAGTGATTAAATTGAAAAAAACAAAAAAAACAAAACAGGTTAAATAAATAAATTAATTAATTAAAAAGTAACATTTCCAAAAACGAATATAAACATACGTCAGGGTAAGGACAGCAGCCATAGTTGCCGAACCCAGTGATGCAGCAGGTCTGATCGTCGTCACACAGAGTGATGTTGTCGGGGCATATTACGTCGTCACTCTTCAACTGATGAAGCTTAAGGAAAGGAAGGAAGAAAATTCAGTGAAATAAGTCTCTGAAGTCAGGTGGTATAGTTCAACTCTTGCCTAATTCAATGTTTTATATGAATATATAAATACTAACAGGGTGAAAATCGACTTCCTTTGTTTCATCTTCATCGTCATCATCTTCGTCATCATCTTTACTCTCCTCTTCCTTCCAATCATGACCATCCCGATCCTGAACTCTCCGACCTTGAACTTTGCGGAACCAGGTCTGCATGTGACCTTTGGGTTCGACGCATGCACCATGGGTTACATCGCACGTATAGCTGAAGGGGCAGCAATGTTCCTGATCTGAACAGCAAACGCCCTATCATGAAAATGAAAATGTTTTAAAGTGAAAGTGCGCACAACTAATTCTGTTTTATGCAGATTCAACATTCAGTGTGATGTGAATTTCTTTTAAATTGAAATTGCTAAGAGCCTAAAAATTTAATAATTGGTAATTGGTGAAATAAGAATAAACGAGAATAAATATAAAATAATAAAAATATGAACAATAATAATAAGAATAAATATACAAACATCAGTAAAAGGACAGCAGCCATAGAATCCAGACTCCACCAAGCAGCATGTCTGATTGGACAGGCACTGGGTAACTTTATCGGGGCATGTCTTGTACGGCACGCCCTGTATATCGATATGAGGGGGACATTTGGTTTTGTATGTATGTGTGTGCGTATGTATGTGTTTGCGTATGTATGTATGGATGTAGGAAGTATGAAGGAAAATTATTATTATCATTATTATTATTACCATATTATTATTATTATTACTATATTATTATTATTTTAATATTATTATTTTTATATTCATCTACACCATCGGTCAAAACTATTTGGAAAATGATAATTACTTGTGTCTGTTTTTAACAACATTACAATTACATTGTAATTCATACCCTACTTAACAAAACATAAACTTGACATAATAAGATATTACAAAATGCACAGCATGTACAAATACACACACACACACGCACACACACAAAAACAAACGTGAACATTAATAGATCTCGAATATAAGAAACATATTATCACAAAATTAAAATTCTAACATACACCAAAAGCCTACACACACACACACACACACACACACACACACACACACACACACACACACACACACACACACACACACACACTTTCTCTCTTTCTCCCTCTCTCTCTCACACACACACAAATATAAACACACACAGAGAGAAACTCAGACAGACACCTTAACTAATGAATATGGTTCATTTTCCTGCTTGTGCCAGTTCATCATCATTCCATTTGGCTTGGTGCACTTCTGGCCAACTTCATCACATACAGTCCCTGATGGGCAGCAGTGAGTGCCATCTGCACAGCAAACTGCCTGAAGATGATGATGATGGTGACAACGATGATGATGGTGACGAACGATGATGGTGATGACAAACGATGAATGATGATGATAATCACTCGTGTTTCACAAGTACGATGATGAAGGTGATGACAAAAGATGGTGATGATGATGATGATAAACAATGGTAGTGATGATGATGATGATAAACGATGGTGATGATGATGATGAAAAAAGATGTTGATGATGGTGATCAGCATCACATTCATTCTAAATAAAATGGAACCACAGTGGATGTTCAATAATAATAATAATAATGATGACTATCCAGATCCAGGATGATGATAAACAATGATGTCTAGAAAATGATGAGGAAAAATGATGATAATTGTTTCCAGTCAGTTTAGTAGTTTAGCAAGCAGATAGTTATGCCGACTTAATAGGTGTCAAATGGCATAAATGATAATACCTATATGTGCTATGTGCCTGTCTGCTGATTGTGATGAGTTATATCACTGTTATCATTAATAAAGGCAATTAATAATTTATTATTATTATTATTATTATTATTATTATAAGTAATATTAATACACTGATATCATTAATGAAGGCAATAATAATAATAATAATTATTATTATTATTATTGAAAGTAATATTAATATACCGATAGAAATATCATTTAAAAATTTTTGCTATTCATATGCAGAACTATATGTACAAACACATACATACAAACACACAACACACACATAAACACATACAAACACACACACAAACGAACACATCAGCAAACACATACATGCACACATACACAAACATTTCTAAGTAGACAAAACAGCATCAACCAACTACAACAATTACATACAACAACAATAAAACAGCCATACAAAGAGACAAACGTGCGGACAAACAAACAAACGTACATACATAAAAAAACAAACAAACATACATACAAAAACAAACATACATACAAACAAGAACAAAAAAACATACAAACAAGCATACATACAAACAAACAAGCAAACAAACAAACATATAAACAAACACGCA